GTGTTAAAAAGCAAAGATGTCACTTTGAGGACTAAGGTGCACCTGACCCAAGCCATGGTATTTTCAATCACCTCGTATGCATGCAAAAGCTGGACAGTGAATAAGGAAGACCAAAGAAGAATTGATGCCTTTGAATTATGGTGTTGGTGAAGAATATTGAATATACCATGGACTGCCAGAAGAATGAGCAAATGTGTCTTGGAAGAAGTACAGCCAGAATGTTCCTTAGAAGTGAGGATAGCGAGACTTCGTCTCATGTACTTGGGACATGTTATCAGGAGGGACCAGCCCCTGGAGATGGACGTCATGCTTAGTAAAGTAGAGGGTCAGTGAAAAAGAGGAAGACCTCAAAGAGATGGATTGACACAGTGGCTACAACAATGGGCTGAAACATAGCAACGATTGTGAAGATAGTGCAGGATCGAGCAGTGTTTCATTCTTTAGTACATAGGTCACTATGAGTTGGAACCAACTTGAAGACACCTAACAGCAACAAACCATGGACAGTGGCAAAATTCCCTCTTGGGTCATTGATTTAGCAATAGACTCTTATCAAAATAACTGTCATCATAAGCCAGGATTAGTGTCTGACTCAGTGAATCGGATTCAGAGTTTCTTACAACCATTTCACTACATTCCTGATAGCAGCAGAAAGAGCAGTTGTCTATACTTGCATCTCCAGCACATGGCAGCTTGCCAGACTCCCTTTAGCCAAGGCTAACCTCTAAGAAAATCTGTGTTAGTTTGTATCAGTCAGGCTCCGCCTCTGGCCAGAACTCCTGAAATAGAGGTCATTGTCAGCTGCCGTTGAGTTGGCCTGCAACGCACCTGTAGTTTGGGGATCAGACAGTATTTTGTTGTGATCACAGGATTTTCACTGGCTGATTTTTGGAAGTAGATGTCTAGGCCTCTGTTCCTAGTTTGTCTTAGTCTGGGAGCTCTGCTGACACCTGTTCAGCATCATAGCAATGCACAAAAAGTAGGTTGAATTGTTGAGTCTAGGGACTAGGATATTCTTTTGGCCTGGTCTCGCCCGACTTTTAGGCACCATGGGCCTTGTGGTTGTGTAGGAAACACATTGCTAGTAATGAAGATAGTACTGGGAAAGAGAAGGAAATTCTGTAAAATCTCTGATCTTACTTTTTCCCTTCCACCCAACTTTTTAAGAGGTATTAGTGAA